AAAAGGCCCCCCAACAAGCTGGCACGCCCCTGCGGGCTCCGAAGCTACAAAGAAAATTCCACGATCCCACCCCAAACTGTCGGTGCACATCAACACTCATGCTCTACGATTATTATCCCATGATGGTGTCCGTTTCGACCCACCCCTGGAATGTTTTGCTGAGGAGGCGAGAAGTACAATAACATTGCTGCTTGGCTTGCTAACTACAGGTTTGCCGCCGAGCTCTACCCACCTCCGCTTGCGAGCTGTATGTGTCTCAACAGCTTGGTCCTTCACCCGGGGCACAAAATGTGCTCGGACCTTGAATGAGTTGAGAAGGAACCTGGAACACAATCAAAACCGAAAGCAAGCCCCCAGGCCCGCCCTCGCAGTGTGCTCCAGAAGAGTCATATCTTCGGTGACCCCCCCTAGACTCCGAACAAAACGAGCTGCAGTACACTGTTTACTGCCATATATACAGCACGAACGAGCCTACGGGCCATGTTGATCCAGGCGCCTGGGAGCCGAGCAACTTGGATTTCACGATCACTCATGGACATATAGCGGATCTCGGGAAGCGGGAGCCCTGCCAGGGTGGAGTTGATATGAGCCACGACTGTATCTCTTTCTGAACTGATGTCGCAGTCGAGGCTACTCCACACCGGGTTGCTCCACTGGACCGTGAAATTGACGGTTCTCTCGACCATATGGACTCCGTAGAACCCGGAAGGTAGTAGATCGAGCGTCATGTGCAGCTCGCGGTATTGGCCAGGCCAGATCAGCATCTGCCATCTCTCTGCCATGTGAGGTATGGTCACCGAAGCCTCAGAGATCGCGGTGGCGACCTGCTCGGCCCCAGGCGGGCGGGGCTCGCCTGTCAGGAACTCGCGCTGGATCCAGGCTTGCAGGATCTCGGGGTCGTCCGCAAGCCGCTCGGCGTGGCGCTGGCGGACGTGAAGGTCGGTGATGTCCACCCCGCGCCAGGCCTCCTGCAGGAGGCTCGCCAAGCTGCGGGACGACGTCACGGCGAAGTCGGATACTCCTTGTGCCGCCGTGATGACTGCCCCGAGGCTGCTGTCGACCACCTTGCCAGCCGAGACGGATACGCTGGCCACGACGCCCATCATGGTCCCGAGGTGGGCGAGCGGCCCGGCAACGTAGCGCCACCCGATCATCATCGCGGCGACCGCCGCCCACGTCACTCCTCGCGAGGTTGAGCGTCCGCACCACCTTGCGATGAGCCAGGCCGCGCGCAGCAGCGACCAGCTGCTCCAGCGCGCGCGCCTCTGCCCCGCGGCCGCGCCCGTTGCCAGCGGCTGCGCCGCCAGCGGCTGCGGGGGCCTCAGTGCTGCCACGCCAGGGGCCGCTGGCGCTGGCGCCTCGGCCTCGGCCGCGCCCGCGCCCGCCGCTGCATCCCCCGGCTGCTGCGGACCCGCCAGCAGCCCATCCACCAGTGCGCCCAGTGCTGGCGCCGGCGGCTGGGCTGGCGCTGCCCGGGGCGCTGGCGAGGCCACTCGGCGGCCCCCCGCCAGCGGCGCTGGAGGGACTCCCTCCGCAGGAAGCGCCCAGGCGCCGTCCTGGCCCTTGCGCCAGCCCGCTGGCGGCATGCTGGATGCCCTCGCCCTCGCCGAAGATGCCCTCCGGGAAGTAGTTGGGCAGCTTCTCGGCCGCCTCGCGGATGAGCGGGGCGATCCCTCGCTGCTCAGCCTGTGCCAGGACCCGGGAGGCGGTGACAACGTCCACGTAGATGCGGAGGCTGGACTCTGTGAGCCACCGCCCTGCCTCCTTGATGTCCTGGAAGGGGACACCACGAGCCACGGAATCGCTGGCGAACCCTGCGCGCGCCGAGTGAGGCGTCCAGTGAATGTCGAGGCCCAAGGCTGCTTCAAACTGCTTGAGCCGATGCCTGTAGTCGACGAGCGAATAGGGAAAGAGGAGCCCCTCGGGCGGCGTTCCCAAGACTACTCGGTGTAAGAGGTTCTCCAGTACTCCGCCCTGCTCCAAAATAATGGCGAACTGCATCCGTTTTGCCTTTGTCCCCGACTTGGCCCCCAGGTTGATTACCCAATTTGGCTGCAGGTCTGGTCCCCCTCTAGACGATGGCAAGGATATGTCTTTTGCTCTGAGCTGAAGCATCTCCGATGGGCGCAGGCCGCGGTCCACCTGCAGCAGCAGGCCTATGCCCAGCCGCGGCACGCCCCAGCAGGAGAAATAGATGGCGGCCAGGTTAGCTGGCGCGCGGCCAAGTGGCGGCGCGTGCTTCACCTCGGCCGACACTCGCCATGCATCGATCACCGAGTGGGACCACGTCAGCTTCCTCCTCAGGCGTGGGAAGACAAACTCCACCGCCGCGACGGCGTACTCAAAATTGCACTTGGTCATCTGCATGTCGTTCTTGTACTCGACAAGCAGGTCGCCCCACTGCTCGGGCCCGTCGGGGACGAAGCCGCGCTCGTCCAGGTAGGTCACGAACTTCATAGCCGCCGCCCCGTAGGCCGCCAGGGTGTGCGGCTTAACCTTCTCAACAGAAGTGCTGTCCAGCTTCCTCGGCCCCGACATGAGGTAGGCCGCGGAGCTCAGCACGAGTCAGGCACCTCGATATCTTATCAGCAGGCTGCCTGAGCGTCTCCACCCATGGAATCAAAATCTTTGTGCGAGATGCCATCCCTGCTGCGGTCTTCTGACGCAGCAGGTGATTCAAAAGGTGCGCCGGGGACCTGCCCTTGCATACCGCACCTGAGACTGGCTGGTTGTCCTCCAGGATCGGCAGCACGGTGCGGTGAAGGGCAGGAGTGGCGGCCGCCAGCCTGCTGATCTTCACGACGCAGCGCCCCTCGCCCAGCGTGATGTGGTCGGCCGTCCGCCACCTGCCCGCTCCTACGATCGTCCAGTCCTCGTCGGGCTTGAACACGCGATAGGGCAGGAGGCTGAACGGCTTCGTCCGTCTGATGACCTGCTCGGGGCGCCGCAATCCTGTGAGCTCGCCGTCCAGCCTTGCCACGGTGTAGCCCAAGTTGCCGCCCGTGTCGATGAAGTCCTTCGCGATGTCCTCGTCCATGTCGGTCACCAGGATGCCCCAGCCGCCGTCGTCCTCCACGTTGGCGCCCATGGCGTCCGCCGCGAAATGCACGGGGGCTGGCGGGGCTCCCAGGTCAGCGTACATCAGCGGGACTACCTTAGCCATGGCCCGCAGCTCCCGGCGGACGGTCGCCCAGGTGCTCACCCGCTGGTGCGGGTACCTCTCCAGGAGCCTGAAGACGGCGCTGGGTATGCAGAGCAGCTCCCGCCGTAGTAGAGCGCCCCAGATCCACACCCCCAAGAGCGAGCGCAGCTCCTCGGTGTGGAGGGTGCGGGTGGCGCCCATCGCCTCCAGCTGCTGCACCAGCTCCCGTGCCCTCTTCGGAGGCAAGCGAAGCTGCGCGGGACGCGCCTGAGGTGCGTAGCCAAGCACCTTCTGCATGTCGCTGGCCTCCGTGCGGTCGGTGACAACGAAGCCGGCCTCGGCCAAGGCGTCCGCCAGCTGGTGCATCTTCCCAGTGGCCCGTGGGCCACAGCCGTTGCCCCCTGCCATCGCCACGCCGTCGTCGACGTGCAGGTAGAAGGCCATCTGCGGCCCGTCCAGCACCAGCCCACGGCCGCGAAGCACGTCCTCGTTCCGCACGGCCACCGCTGGTGCCGCAGTGCTCCGCGAGCTCCAAGCGGTGACCGCCCTGTCGGCCTCTGGCGGCCTTCGCCACCCGGTGCCGCCCAAGCCGGTCTGCTCGAAGATGGCCAGGGTCTGGACAATCAAGAGCCCCAGCGACTCGCACATCCCCTCGGGGTACTGGGCCAGCGGGCTCGTGCGGAAGGTGCCGTCGGCCAACTTGCCGTCGGCCGACTCGCGGGCATGGGGCCCGTCACACCGCAGCTCATTCAGGTCCTCCAGCCCCTGCAGCGTGCCGCTCAGGCATGTGGGCTTCTTCGTCCGGCCGCCCAGCATGCACTGGTCCAAGCGCGCTCTCCGCGACGAGCGCCTCGTCTCGAAGTCCAGCATCTCATTCGTGTTCCAGATGGATGGGTAGGGCGCGTGCCCTGGGTCCTCCGGGTGCTCGATGAGGAAGGCGCCGCCACTCTGGCCGCACGCCTCGCAGAGCGCCAACAAGTTCAGCGTCAGGGTGTTACTCTCCGCGACTCTCGCGGCCTCCCAGGCCCTGAGGCCTGGCAGACCCCAGGGGCACGGCCGCGATCGCACCGGCGGCGGCCCAGGTCGGCGACGATTGTAGCGTGCCCGCGACCAGGTCGAGCAGGGCGGGCCGCCCAGCACGATGTCCACCCAGCCGCCCTCGCACAGCTCCATCAAGGCGGAGAAAGTGGAGGGGTTGGCCAGGTCCCACCGCGGGTCGTCCAGGAGATCGGCGGAGAGGAAGAGCACCCTCAAGCCCCGCTCCTTCGCCAGCCTCTCTACCACCTCCTGAACGTCACCACGCCGCCGACGGCCAGCGAAGAGATGCATCACCACCATCACACGCTCGTCCTCCCTCTTCGCCCGCTTCACGGCCTCTATCCACTCTGCCACGCTGTAGCCCGCCGGGCTAGGCGGCGCGGCGCGGCAGCTGGACTGCTGCCCAAGCCAGTCGTCGTCGTAGCGATGCTGCTGAGCGTCCTCAGGTCCGGCATCCACGCCGTCGCCATCCTCCAGCCCCCCGTCCTCGGGCGGCGAGGTGCGTGGCACGCCGCTGGCAGCGCCGTCGGCGGGTGCCGCGGCGCCCGCAAGCGCCCCCAAGCGTGCGCCCACGCCCAGCAGCGCCCTGCCGATGATCGCCATGTTGACCGTCATGAGCAGGTGCACGGAGTGCGAGCCGCCCATGGCCAGGCGATGGTAGCAGGGGGCTATCCAGCCCGTCGGCCCCACCATGTCGCGCAGGCGCTGGCTGAGCTTCGCCCACACCCAGCAGGCGCGGATCGGCGGGCATGCCTGCCACTTGGCCATCCACGCGGGGACGCGGAGGCGGCGGAAGGCGTTGTCCTCGTCGAACGCCGCCACGCCCCACTCATCCGTCGGGACGCACATGGAGGCGATGGCCGCCCCGCCGTGCATCCCGTGGTCCCCGCGCTGGTGCGGGTCGGCCCACACGTAGTTGCTGGCACACATCATCAGAACCTTCCTCTGCTTGGCGGGGTCCTTCTTGGGCACACAGCTGAACCCGCAGTGGGCCTGGACGTCGCCGGGGGCCTCGAACGTCCACATGTCCTTCGGCAGATCGTCCCGCATCAAGTAGCGGGCGTACTCGGACGTCGAGCCCCCCACGAAAGCGAAACGTTCCTCCAGCTCCTCGAAGATGACCCCTGACTTGCCGCTGTAGTCCAGAACGTTCCGCTCGTCCGAGTAGTGCTGGCGCTCGCCGTCGGGCAGCGCCTCCAGCAGGTCCACGACCATGTCATCCGGCGGTTCTGCCACCGCCGCTGCGCACATCGTCACGTGTCTGCTCGCACCCTTGCGCTCTCCAGTGTAGGCGTCCTGCGGTCCTCTGTCGCAGGCAAGATCCGTCCCTTGACCGCCTGTCGGGGCAAGCCCCCGGCAGTCGCGCTCGTGCCGCGCCGCGTCCTGTAACGCGTACTGCTGCACGAGCTGCCAGGCCAGCATCATCTCGTCGTCGCTCGACTCGCGCTGGCCCGCTGGTCTCGCCTCCAGGGATCCGCGGTCCATCCCATTCATGAGCTCGATGAGCCCGCAGGCCCGACGCCACACGCGCATGCGTCGAGCCCAGCGCGTCCTCAACCTGCCGGAAGAGGAAGCTCCTTGTTGTGGCCGATGAGGTAGAGGAACGGGGAAGAACGACCTGGCCTCGGCCTCCTTCCACTGCAGGGCCCGCGTCAGCGAGCCAGGCAGACCCGTCACTGGCATTCTAGGCTGCACCCGCGGCGGCGGGGCACCCACTCGGACCGAGGGAGGGTCGTAAGCCCCTCGGTCCGCCAGCGGTTGTCAAGCCTGGGGCTTGCCTCGGCCCGAGGGCTTACCCCCTCGGCCGCGGCCGCGCCCCCCGCCGTCGCCACCTCTGCCTCTGCCGCCACCAGCTGCCTCGGCGCCGCTGCCAGCTCCACCTCCGCATCCCCCGCCACGGCCGCCGCCGCGGCCGTCGCGCTTGCTGGCGGCGTGGACCCTCTCGTCGCGCTGGTGCTCAGCCTTGCTGTGGGTCGTGGCCTCGGTCACCAGCCATGTGGGGGCCAAGTCGGCGGCCGACCCGGGCGGGCGAACAGCCAGCATCGCCGCCGCCCCCACCTTGTCCTTCGTCCGCATCTCGTAGACGTAGCTGGCCAGCCGCCTCAGGTGCAACTCCAGCGCGTCGTCGGATGCCAGGCGGGTGAGCAGCTCGGACTGGGTCTTGCACCCGCCCAGCAAGTAGTCCACGTTGGTGGCGGCGGTCCACAGGTCGGTCCAGACCGTCGCGCGCCGCTGGCCCGTCACCTCCCGCGACAGCCAGTCGCGTGCGCTAGCCGCCCCCGCGCCCCGCATGGTGCGGTAGATCTCCGGCGCCGCGCGCCTCAGATCCGGCGGGAGGCTCAGGTTCCACCGGCTGTCCTCCTGCTGCTGCTGGGTCTGCGGGGCCACGGCCCACCCAGGGGAGGCCTGCATGCCCCCGCCGTGCGGCGCCGTGGCAGAGGAGAGCAGCGCGTCCAGCTCCTGCTGCAGCGACCCTCCTGGCGGGGACTTCGTCCCCGCGCCCACGTAGCCGTGGGTTTGCAGCACTCGTCGCAGATCAGGGTGCAGCCCCAGGGAGCCGTCCACGGCCGCGATTCTCTCCCAGAAGTGCCAGGCCCAGTACACGTTCGTGGCAGCCTGCGCCTGGAACTCGCGGAGCGTGGCCCCTACCATTTGCACCTCTCGCCCTAGCTTCACCGCGTCTGCAGGAGCATGAGGCGCATGGAAGCTGAGCCCTGCCGCTGGCACGGCCACCTCCGGCGGCAGCTGTGGCTGCTGCTGCTGCTGCTGCTGCTGCTGGGCCGCCGTCTGGCTGAAAGGGCCTGGCACCTCGCTCCCCTGGGCGAACGCCCGCAGCGCCGCCAGGTCCTGCGAGCCGGGCTTCGCCGTCGCGGCACCCGCGCCCGCGCCCTCGGCAGGTGGGGCCCACGGGGGAGGCGGCAGCGCCGCGAGCCCAGGCGGGTGCATCGGGCCCGTAGGTACCTCCGCGGCCGCCGCGCAGCTCCCCTTGGGCGTCGGGGCCCCCGGGGCGTCCCAGGCCGCGCTGTCGCCCTCGGCGGCAGTGAGGTCCAGGCCGTCCCCGCCGCTGCTGAGCGCTGCGGCGAAGGCCGCCCGCCGCCTCCAGCGCGTCCACCAAGCGACCGCACGCTCGGGTACGCGGCGCACGAGCAGGAAGGTCCCGAACACCCCCACTGCAGCGCCCGCCAGGCGGTGTCGCCCGGAGTCGGCCCACAGCACCACCACCAGGCTGGACAGGAAGAGGCCGATGCCCAAGTGCAGCACCCAGTCGACGGGCAGCGTGTCTCCGTCCTCGCCGACTGCACGGGCCCAGATCCGGTCCGCGACCTTCTCCCAGCCGTCAGTGTCGGCGGCCACTCGTCTAATCCGACTCTCCGCATGCGTGGAGAACGTGGCGGCCTCCGTGAACCCCCAGAGGGCCTCGGCCATCTCGGAGCCCGGGACCTCGGGGTTCCCCAACGCCAGGCGGACGGCCACGGGGTCCAGCGCTGCCTCCAGCCGTCGTGCCTCGTCCAGCTTCGAACGAGGGGCCCGCCCTGCGTTCAGCGTCGATCTCACCTTCAGGACGAGCCCCGCGACGTCGTCGTCCGAGACGTCCGCCCCAGCGGCCCGCAGCGCGTCGGTCCCCGCCTTCTTGGCACCGGCCGAGACCGCCATCCAGCTCCGCCTGGCGTCCGCCGCGCCTTCGGCGCACGGCGCCCAGCACACCAGCTATCCGCGGCCTGCTGCACCTGGGCAGCGCCGCCGCGGCCTCGCACAAGTCTTCGATTCCACGGGTGGAGTCCGCTGCTCCCGTCAGGGCGCCATGCCGCGCCCTGCTGCGAGGTGGGCTGGGCGCCCAGACCTCGCGATAATCTGTACCAGATTGGAGCCAAATGATACGGTTGCGGAGCAGGCCGTGCAGCACACGCGAGGGCAGGGGGGCCTTCACGGGCAACCAAAACACAACCTACCGAGCCCACCCGTTTTGGAGGGCCGAGGGGAGCCAGGCCGGGAACGTGGCCCACCGGCGAAAAGGCCCCCCAACAAGCTGGCACGCCCCTGCGGGCTCCGAGGCTCCAAGGAAAATTCCACGATCCCACCCCAAACTGTCGGTGCACATCAACACTCATGCTCTACGATTATTATCCCATCATCATCATCATCATCATCATCATCATCATCATCATCATCATCATCATCATCATCATCATCATCATCATCATCATCACCATCATCATCATCAGCATCATCATCATCATCATCCTCATCCTCAACGTCAGCATCATCATCAATATCACCATCACCATCGTCATGCTAATCCCCTATCATCCTCATCATCCTCATTATCATCCTCATCATCAGCAGCATCAGCATCAGCATCATCAGCATCATCATCAGCATCATCAGTAGCGTCAGTATAACCCTTATCATGAGCAGAATCGTCGTTGGCTCACCACCCTCCCTAAACTGGAGGTAGGGGCCAAGGATCCAGGGAGTGTTGCGGATATTCAGATGTTGCGCGAGTGGTTTACGGTTCTGCCAGCCAGCCCTCAGAACTTCCCGAGACTAGCCAAAGTCTGGGCAAAAGCTTGGGCCAGACTGAAGGGTGGGCAAGCCGCCAGGAGATGGATAAGAGTTCAAGGACCGATACCGGCCATCATGGTGGCCATGGTCGCCACAAGATGGAAGCCTGTCAAGCCCCTGCACTGGACCGAACCCGAAGACTTTGACTGGGTGTTAGACATCGGCAGCTTCGCATCGGTGGCGAAAACAGTTAAAGAACTCGAGCAATCGAAACTCTTGGTAGCCGCTCGTTCGAGCACCAAGCACAAGATCTTGCCCGAAGCTCCGAAACGATACCTCGGGAGCGGCCTTCGGTGTGGAGTTGACCCTCTCAGTTTTCGCAGGCAGCTCGACAGGCTCGAGCAGCGTGGGAGCCACGCCAACGGGGGAGCTTTGGTCAACACTGGCAAAGCAAGCTGGTGGCCCAGACATCGATGTGCAGAGGCTCACCCTGGCCTGGACCCCTCTCCTCCTCCTCCTACTCCTCCTCCTCCTCCCCTCCTCCTCCTCCTCCTCCTCCTCTCCCCTCCCCCCCCTCCCCTCCTCCTCCTCCTCCTCCTCCCTCCTCCTCCCCTCCGTCCTCCTCCCTCCTCCCTCCTCTCCTCCTCCTCCTCCCTCTCCTCCTCCTACACCTCCTCCTCCTCCTCCTCCTCCCCCTCCTCCTCCTCCTCCTCCTCCTCCCCTCCTCCTCCTCCCCTCCTCCTCCTCCTCCCCTCCTCCTCCTCCTCCTCCTCCTCCTCCTCCTCCTCCTCCTCCCCTCCTCCTCCTCCTCCTCCTCCTGCAGCGTGGCCAAAGGGGGGCGGGTCCTCGAAGTCCTACCTCTGCATCTGCATCTGTACCGCGGCGATGAGGTCCCTTGCCTCATCCAGCTCCAGCGGTCGACCACCGAGACGTGAGGACATTGCCCTGATCTCATTATACAGAAAATAGGCTGTGGCTGGTACTCTGAGAGAAGATTGAGTGGGTGCCAAAATCCCAAACCGGTCCAAAGGGAGCGGGGCGAGAGGGCCAGTCAGCTTCTCAAGGAGAGTGCCAAAAATGGGACAATTCCAATAGTGTGCAAACGCATCTTCACCACCTAGGTCTGGGGGGCACCCACAGAGACAATGCGAATTCGCAGACTGTTGGAACCTACGCTGAGTCAGCCAGTTCTTCGAGAGCGTCCTAGCAGCGGCGGCCGAGTGGGCCACGGGCAAGGAGGCAAGGGCGGTCTGAACGGCAGACCAGTCGACCGTAAGGATACGTGCCCTCTCTTCGGGGAGCAAGTCTAACAGACGTCTGGAAAACAAATCACCTAACGAGCTGCTATACATACAGTTGGACAGTTTATTTACAATCATGCGTTGGATTTTTGGACGGGGGCCTCTCACGGAGCTCTGAAGATGTTGAACCTGAAGAGAACGTACCTCAGACATCACTGGTAGCATTTCATTTCGTTGCCTGTCTGGGAAATGAAGCCCATGGAACGCGTCAGACATGTGCTGGCACAGTGCTGGGGTCTTCCACCACGGCGGCGAGTACTCTTGGCGCAGCACCGACACGTATGGACGGTGACGAGCAGCAGCACGTTGGAGCAGCTCCAGAGACTTGCGCCATTCAAAGGTTGAAATAGCCGCACGAGCTCTCGCCGCCATGCATATGACTGGCAACGAACGGATCCTTGGACCTCCCCACTCCTGCCATCTATACCACGCCCCATGAGTAAACCCACAATACGGCATATGAAAGACTCTGGATAACATAGCTGCTTCTTGGCGGGTAAGCTCGTGCGGGGCAGGAATGAATTGAGCGATGTACGACATCACCGATGATGCTCGTGAAGAGTAGAGGTTCGCCGCGATCGAATTCGAGGCACCCACCGATGAGAGCTCGAACGATCTATGGCGCCATTTTCTTAGCGGACTCCTCCAACAGTGCTGCTCTGCCTCGGGCCCGATGAACATACCCAAATATTTGACAACCTCGACAATTTCGAAGGCGGACCAGGACGGGATAAGAGCTTTCAACTTCATTCTGTATAGCTGTTTGATCGGGTCCGAGATGGGGCCTGCCAGGGGAAGTATTTGACACTTGGATAGATTCAGATGCAGAGCAGCAAGCTGGGCCGCCAGGCCGAATATGCGGAACAACTGCATAAGGTACTGCAGCTTGATGAGGGCCGTGCCTATGTCATCAGCGCAGAGTCTGACTATCCCGCGATGCTTCCGCTCTATCGTCGATTCAAAGTCTGCCACGAAGGGTTCCATGCTAACCGCAAACAACGTTCCCGAGCCTGGGCACCCTTGGATGATTCCAGCGAGGATAGGAAACATAAACAAAATCATACCTCCAAACTCCGAGTAACAAATCACGCCCTGGTACAGTAAGACGATATAAGCCAGCAGCGGGGGTGGAAGGCCGATTTCTTCGAGGACCAGCAGCATCCACCGATGGGAAATCGATGGGAAAGCCTGCGCAAAGTCGAAGGAGGCAATGAGCGGCAGGTCCGTGCCTGCAGATGGGACCATCGAGTAACATCTGGCAACAGCGTCCAATTCGACGATGTTGGTCCCAAATTGCCGTCCCTGGATAAAACCTCGCTGAAGTTTATTCGCAATCTTAGACCACTCCCTGGAGAACGAGGACATGATGGTGGCGGTGATGAGCTTGTTATCAGTGTTTTTGAGGCCCAGGGGTCGAAGCTTATCACAGTCACGAACGCAACCTCCTCCATCTTGATCTCCCTCCTCCTCACCTTTCGGGATATACACGCCTAGCAGATGATTGAAGCCCCAGAGGGCCCAGCCACCGTCCAGGAGCCAGAACATCATCTCCGAGAGGGTCTCAAGGGCTTGGGGAGTCTTCTGCCACGCGGCGTACGGGATACAGTCAGGACCAGGGGCGCTGTGATTTTGCTTTCTCAGGATCGCAGACATCAGGCTCTTGGTCGGGGGCGGGATGCGACTCAGGTCGATGTGACCTGTGAACCTCTGGATGTAGGTCCGTGCCTTTTCCACAGGGGTATCCTTCGCATTGAAAATCTTGCCCCAATGCTCGCTGATCGCTGAAGCCATGTCCAGCGGATCGGAGAGAAGCTGATCATTGCGGCGAATACCGCGCACAAGAAGGCGGCGGTCGAAGGGAGCCCACAACTTCGCCCGCCTCTGCAGACGACGGAGACGTTGCCGTAACTTCTTCTTCTCTGATTCTGGAGCTTCCGAGAGATTTTTGCCCAGACGTTTTATCTTGTTCATGTGGTCAGTCGTTTCCAGAGAATTGATCAGGTCAGCAAAGGCCCCAGGGTTCTCCAAGTAGATACGGTTCGTCTCCGCGTCAATCTGAAGGAACTGCTTAGCAAGAGGGTACGCCTTGATGAGTTTATTCCCCAAGGTGAGGTCTTGACGCCAGACAGCCCTGGAAATCGAGCGGCAGAGAATGATACGCCCCAGGATAGAGTCCGAAGCCTGTCCCAAGGAAGCATTGCGAGCAAATCTGGCACCCTCTTTCATCAGCGTCTTAAGAAACAAAAGGCGGATCGGCGGCGAGTACTGCTCGATGTCCCCGCACTGGAGGTAAGCCTGTACAAACCTGGCGTATTCAGGGGTGCCGAAGAGGTCTCGATTAATGGCTCGCTCTTTATGGTGTTTTTGGCCACTAGGGTGAAAGTCAACTTTAATCGCAGCGTGATCAGAAAGCCGTTGATGGATCACAACCTCAGCGAGACCCTGCGTCACCCCACATACGTTAAATTGCTTGAGAGCCCACCCAGGGAGAGAAGTGAAGGCCCTATCAATGATGCTCATCGTGTCATTCGGCCTGTACACGTGGGTGGGGTCAAGCTGCTCAATTTCAACTAACTTCCCAAGAAGGTTCCTCCAGATGGCGTCCTGTGTGGCCCTCCAGGTCAGGTACCCTTCTCCAGGAGCAACAAAACTGGCAGGATTGACTGGGGATGGGGGTGCGGCGGCGATGTTGAAGTCCCCTATGAGAACGACGATTTTGTTGAGCGGGTCCTCTTTGGCCTCCTGAAGTTTCCCAAGAATGTGGTTAGCTATCTGGATCTTCTCGTGCCTCTGGAGCCCATAATTATGGATATTGTAATGAGCAATCCAAGCTGAACCCCCATCGATCTGGATGTCTGTAAAGAGTACCCTGCCCTGCACCAGAGGTTCACTTGACGAGTCAACCACAAAGTCTTCAAACCTGTGCTCAGGGATCATCGTGAGAACCCCTCCGGCAGCGTTCGGCAAAAAACTGGCGTGGCAAATGTACGGCTTGCGCAGAAAATGAATCATGTTCCTGGCTTCTGCCTCTGAGCCGTGCGTTTCCTGTACAGCAACGATGGACGTGGGAGACATGAGGGAGGAGAGGTAGTGGAACTTCTTGGACTTGGTGGAGGGGTCGAAGTGGAAGAGAGCATTAGCGTTCCAACTGGCAAAGCACATCGAAGCCGAGGTGGGGCCAGGACCCAGCCAAGGCCTCAGGAACTTGTTAAAGAGACCACGAACCTTCCTCAGCCGCTGGGGCTGACATGCATCTGGAAACTCTCTCTGCCAGCCGCTGCTTGTCGAGGCCCAGGGCCTGCAAGTTCGGGATGTTCCATTCCACAGACGGCTGAGCACCAGGCGGTGCAGGGGTAAAACGCAATAACTTCTTCCATGCGAGGGAGAGTTCACCGCGATCTTTGTCCGTGTAGAACCGATGCTGGGGATATTCAGCTTCAAATTCTCTGCGAATGAGTTTGAGACCGAGCTCTCTGCGTATGGTGGCCTGGTTCTTGTCGATGCTGATGAACAGGTCTGTCTGACCGCCCGTGGGAAGGGCCGCAAAGAAACGTCTCCACGTGTTATCTCTCTGCCTGATTGCAGCCATCGCCTGGCGGAGAGCTCTGGAGGCGAGGTGCTGCTGGCCCGTGAACTGAATGATGAATCTTTTCGCTGCAGGGCCATCTTCAGGGCGCAGGACCTCAAAGTCGTCCACGTCCAAGGCTGCGTCCTGCATCCAAGACTTGATGGCGTCGCAGACCGCTTGATGGGTAACCAATTCCTTTGAACGCACAACCAATATGGTGGGATCCGTCGGGCGGTTGAAGCCGTTCGGCAGCTCGATCTTCGGGGGGGGGCGGTTCGGTCTTGACAATATGGAGCTGTCGCTGCAGGTGCCCAATCTGCTTCTCAAGGTACTGCAATCTGTTGCCATGATCCTCGACTCGGGACTCCACTCGGTGCATTCGAGCCTCAACCTGTCGATCGATGCCCTCAGCGTGGGAGGCGAACGTGCGGGAGAGAGCCGTGACGCTGGACTGGATGGATGCGATGGCAGCCATGACCTCCCTCCTCGTCGCATCAACGTGGGCCCGCAAATCAGTCTCCTCAGAGAGAGGAAGAGATTCTCGTGTACGTCCAGGGCTGCCAGTGCCGCCACTACCAGAGCCAGGGAGAGAATCCCGAGCGTCATGAAATTCACCTTCGGGGGTGTCGCCTGCCACAAGAACTGGTGAGGTGGCGTGCGCCGATCTCGATCTGTCACGTGCACCATCTTGATTGGCCGATGGTGATGAGCCTGTAGTTCCTGCCATGCTGCGCCGACACAGACACTGTGTTGGCACCCAAGAATCGTGATGATTCACAGCCGAGCAAGAGACAGACAACTGGGGTGCCGCCAGCGCACGACACGCTGGATCGCTCAGAAGGAGAGCTGCCCGCTCAAAATGGGACCTGTTCCCACTTGAGCCAAAATGGCAACGGACCTCCTCCTCCTCCTCCTCCTCCTCCTCCCCCCTCCCACCCCCCCCCTCCCCCTCCCCCCCACCCTCCCCCTCCCCCTCCCCCTTCCCTCCCCCTCCCCCTCCCCCTCCCCCTACCCCTCCCTCCCCCTCCCCCTCCCCCTCCCCTCCTCCTCCTCCTCCCTCCTCCTCCTTCCTCCTCCTCCTCCTCTTCTCCTCTCTCCTCCTTCCTTCTCCTCTCCTCCTCCTCCTCCTCCTCCTCCTCCTCCTCCTCCTCCTCCTCCTCCTCCTCCTCCTCCATCCTCCTCCTCCTCCTCCTCCTCCTCCTCCTCCTCCTCCTCTCCTCCTCCCCCTCTCCTCCTCCTCCTCCTCCTCCTCCTCTCCTCCTCCTCCTCCTCCTCCTCCTCCTCCTCCTCCTCCTCCTCCTCCTCCTCCTCCTCCTCCTCCTCCTCCTCCTCCTCCTCCTCCTCCTCCTCCCCTCCGCCTCCTCCTCCTCCCTCCTCCTCCTCCTCCTCCTCCCTCCTCCTCCTCCTCCTCCTCCTCCTCCTCCTCCTCCCTCCTCCTCCTCCTCCTCCTCCTCCTCCTCCTCCTCCTCCTCCTCCTCCTCCCTCCCCTCGCCCTCGCCCTCCCTCCCCTCCTCTCCTCCTCCTCCTCCTCCTCCTCCTCCTCCTCCTCCTCCTCCTCCTCCCCCAAGAATCGGGAGGAGCCCGAATCCCTCGGACACCCTGCCTGGAAGAGCATGTGCAATAGTGGCATCGAAGGCAGTTCAAGACAGGAACTGAAAGATCGAACGCTACTAGACGTGGCTGAAAATCGGAATCCGTGTCTGGCTCCGCGCCTCATCCCCGACCCCTGGACCCTCGTCCCCGACCCGCCTGAGACCCAGGAGGTTCCCGTCACGGTGTGGAGCAGCCTGGCTGCGGGGGACGGTTCGGGGGGGAGCTTACAATGCGGACCCGAAGCTTAGGAGATGCGCGTGGGCCTGGCGAGCCTTCGAGAGAAAGGGCCAAGCAGACAATGGCAAAGCACTGGCTAAGAAAACACCCTATGGTGGACACAGGCAAACGGTAAACCGTGCTGAGATGTGGCCTTCAATCGAGTGCTTGCCAACCATCAAAAGTGCAATTACTTCCAGCACTGGCAATGCGTATGTCGTGAGAGGTTGGAAAAGGCTTGCGCGTGGTCTTCGCCTACTTGAGGGCAACAGAGATTTGTTGGAGACGCTCGGTTCTGTCGCACTCACCCGTGTCGATAGCATCGATATTTGTTTAATCGAAGGCTACCTCGCCACTGAGAGGGCGGCTCAGGTCGGGGTCCCCGCGTTCTGGGCCGAAGCCAACCAAGCAGCAAACCGCACCGATGGGAAGAAACTGCCCGTTGTCAGCTCGAGGAGGAGATTTGCGCACTGTACTGAAGCTGGACCGCGAAACAGACGAGATCAGAATGAGGATTGCGACTCTGGAGATTTCTTGTGCCGTCAACTACGGCACCGCATAACCTGTGTCACGCCAGCCAAGCACGCTGAAGCTAGCATAGGGGGGGTCAGACGTTTCAACCAGTTGTGTATCGAGTCTCCGCATGTTGCGAGACTAATGTCACGCATCCCGAAGAGAATGTTCTGCTCGGTGCGCAAGCAGAAGCCAGCCGCACGGGACAGAGACCAACTTCGTGAATGGTTGTGATCCCCACGCATTCCAATTTCGTGTCCGGGAAGCCTCCCGGAGAATTGACAGCTGCGTACAGGCAGCCACGTTGTTCATCCAACCGCCGTGCAGATACGAGCATGTGAGTGGATGGCCCTGCCAGGCGTGCGGCAGCATCAGCACGAGGGGCATGATCAGCACGAGGGGCATGATAAGAATGGTGAGTCGGACCTCGATGACCTGGCCAACGGCAGGTGACCTCGACGTTCGGCCCAGGCCAGAGCTTTCAATGCAGCTTTTGAAGTCCAAGTCGTGCCGTGCGCGCAGCCAGGTGACATATCCCCATCATCTTTCTCCTGCCCCCCTCCCCTGCCTCCCCCCTTTCACTCCTCCTTCCTTGACGTTGGGCGAAACTCGAGCCGCGGGGCTGTAGCGTTCTGGGGGACGAGAAACAGACGTGCCGACGTAGGCATAGCGCGACAAATTGATCGTGGCCAGCGCAGCAGAAAAAAAGAGCAATGCATGAAAGACAATCATCAGTAATGTAAGGCCCAGTGGCAGAAGTTTTCGCTGACCACGCGGTGCAGGTGGGAGTGGGGAAGGCCGAGCGAGCAAGAGTGACCTGAGTGCGAGGAGGCACCGAACTCCCCTCCTCCTCCTCCTCCTCCTCCTCCTCCTCCTTTTACTCCTCCTCCTCCTCTTCCCCCTCCTCCTTCCTCCCCCTCCCCTCCTCCTCCTCCTCCTCCTCCTCCTCCTCCTCCTCCTCCTCCTCCTCCTCCTCCTCCTCCTCCTCCTCGTCATCAGCGAGCCCCCCCCCCCCGCCCGAAACGAAGAGAGGAGGGCCAGGGCCGGGGACGCAGTGGCCCAAGTCAAAGCAAATCTGGGTAGGATTGGCACGCGAGTTTCACGACGCGGGGATGTCAGGATGCCTGGCATCCTCGCCCCGTGAACAAAAACTTCGGGGCGGCAGTACTCGTTGGACCTGGTGAGGGCCCCCAGAGGCCGAAAACGGCATCATGATCATACGCCGTGACTTTTTCCTGCATTTCGCGAGGAGGTCGACAGAGGGAGGGAGGGAGAGGGGGAGAAAGGACGAGAAGGGAGAGGAGGAGGCAGGGAGGGAGGGAGGGAGACACCGTAGATGAACAAACAAGTGGAACCACTTACTCCACCTCCCCCCTCCACCCTAGTTCAAAGCTGGTCCCAGGCATTCGGCAACAAAGGCGTGAGAGGACAATAAAAGTGAAACCCCTAGGGCCTCGGCGAGGCCCAACCCAACTTTGAACATGAGGGGGACGGAGTGGCTGAACACGGGATCCAACATTGAAGGGTTCCAACTGTTTATCCTCTTACAGGTGGAGGAAGAGGAGGGGGAGGAGAAGGAGGAGGAGGAGGAAGAGGAGGAGGAAGAGGAGGAGGAGGAGGAGGAGGAAGAGGAGGACCCGTGTAAACTGAAGCCCGAGACGCATCAACGATGTTGCAATAAACCTTCCCTCCCAATTCCATCTTCATATGCCCCTGGCAGAATTTGCGGGAAATGCACCATTGGAAGACAACCGTCTGAGAATCCTCAATGCGTCCTGACATTCCTGAACCGCGCCAGAGCACCATTACCAAGATTCAACGCGACTGCTGCGGTATGACAATCGAAATCGCTGCAGACCGCAATTCCTGGGACATGAACCATACGCATCCTGGAAATTGCGTCAAAGTTTCAGGACGAATGTGTGCGCGGCGCTGAAGCGAGAGCTGCGCTTGAAGAGGGCCGCCCTCGAGCCTTCAAACTGCTGCGAGATTTTAAACGAATGTGCCAGGCGCTAATGCGAGCGCCACATGTTGAAGACGACCCCCCTCCAACCTTGAAACTGCTGCAGACTTTCAGACAAATGCGCGGCGCTCATGCGAGGGCCACATTCTGAAAACGGCCCGCCCTCCATCTGTGAAACAAGCTTAAACGTTCGAAGCGAATGTGAGCGGCACCACGGCGAGAACTACATGTTGAAAACCGGCCGCCCTTCATCCATGAAGCTGTGGCGAATTAGAAGTTTCAGGATCATGAATGGTGCGGCAATGACAGGCGCCACGTCCGCCCTGCCCTACCGACAAGTCTGGGGGTGCGACAGCACGGGATCATTCACGAGGAAAAGGCACGGAGGAGGAAGAAGAGGAGAGATGGAGGGAGGGAGGGAGGGAGGGAGGGAGGGAGGAATGGAGGAATGGAAGGAGGATAGGGGATCAGGAGGGAGGGAGGGAGGGAGGAGATAGGGAAGGAGGGAGGAGGAGGAGGAGGAGGAGGAGGAGGAGGGAGGGAGGAGGAGGAGGAGGAGGAGGAGGAGGAGGAGGAGGACAGGGGCCCAGCACAAGCCGCCCCCTCGCAGCGCGCGGGGCTCCCGGGCGGGGGGCCCAGAACAGCAGGGGCAGGCACCAGGGGCGGACAACGGACACCCAGCGCCCCTCGTACGCGAACGGGTCCGGGCCTGCCACCAGGGGCGCGGGCGCTGGCGCTCCCCTCGTCCCTTTCCTCGCCCCCTCTACTCCTCTCCTCGCCCTCCTCCTCCGCGCGCCCTCATCCTTCCCCTCCTCCTCCTTCTCCTCCTCCTCCTCCTCCGTAGCCATTTTGGCTCAAGGCTTTGGTTTCCCAGCGGAAACAAGTGGATACCGCTAGTCCGCGGCTTGACCCCAGTTTCTTCATCGCACCGCTGCGTGAGCTGCCCAGCGGCGCAGCATCCTGTGAGGCTCCTACTCTGTGTCATGGGCAAGAAGCCAGCTCAGCAGTATGCTTGGTGCTCGTGCGGAGAGTGGACCTACAACTGGCGGATCGAGGAGCTCGG